CGTTGGCAATGATGTCATACATCGCTTTGCCATACACCTTGACCTGATTAATTCCAACTTGTGGACAAGGTTAAAAGGTAATCCTTGTGGATACCTACACGAGGAAAACGCCCTGAAATCAGGACAAATACTCCCATATGCGGTAAGTATCCAAGTTCCTGATGACATAACCATTCCACAGGGGACAAGTAATTTTCTTTTACCCCTACAGGTCAAGGAGGGTCAGAGATTGGAAAACTCTGATGCCCTAATCTGTTTATCCAACAGGATACAACAATTAGGGATGGTGGTAACACATACACCAATGGTAAGTATTGGTAAGAATCCCACCTATATCATGGTCAACAATGTTACACCCAATAGTGTTACTTTACCAAAAGGAACATTATTAGGTCTAGCATTGGATGCTGAGTACTATACATTTGGTTTCCAAAACCAAATTATAGGCCTCATCCCTGAAGAATACTTAACTGAGGACGAAATTGTCGATCAAATATTCCATTCCTCCCCAGAAGGATTATTCACTATCCTATCTGTATATCCCTTCAACGTCGAAGAAGGCTCGTGTAAAATCGAAGAAGCATCAATCACCTTCGATCATCCGCTCAATGAGCAGGAATCACAAGGGTATCTCGACCAAAGAGAAAATGTAAGTCAACACCGAACTGACCTAACTTCTAGGCTTGAAGAAGCTTATGAGATAGGTCAGCCTGAAATCTTTCCAGGATTTCAGGAAAGGCTAAAAGAGCAAATATCTTTAGCTGACGGTTGCTCCAACGATGCTGAGCGGCAACAGCTAAAGGAAATCCTTTTGGAATTCCAAGATATTTTTGCCAAAGATTCCTACGACTGTGGGTTAACTAACCTCCACGTAGCCAGAATACAAACTGATCCAAATTTACCACCTGTATTTATCAAACAATATAGACTCCCATTAGCGTCATATGATGGTCTACAAGACATCATTCAGAATTTAAAGGAAAGGGGCATTATACGTCCAGTGCACAGTTCGTATAATAATCCGATCTTGGGGATTCTGAAACCTAATGGACAATGGCGTTTATGCGCTGACTTACGACAGCTAAATAAACGCGTCTATATGTCTGGTTGGCCAACGCCATACATAGACCAATGTTTGGTACAAATGCAGGGATCCAAAATATTCACTGCCATTGACTGTGCGCAGGGATATTGGACTGTACCAGTTCATAATGAAGACCAATACAAATTGGCCTTCACATTTGGAAAGCAGCAGTATACCTGGACCCGTATGCCTTTCGGTTATATAAACTCTGGTCATGAATTCGCTGTGTTCATGCATAAAGCTATGCCTGACGCACTCGAGAGAGGAACGTTATCATATGTCGACGATGTCTTGCTGAAAAGCACTTCCTTTGATAAGCATATCTGAGAGATTAGACATGTTCTCACTCAGTTAAGAGAGGCAGGGATTAAACTGTCTTTACAAAAGGCGCAATGGTGTCGCACCCATGTCAATTTCCTCGGACATGAAGTAACTTCTGAAGGATTAAATCCCCAGAGGAAGAAGGTTGAAGCTGTAATTAAGGCTAAAACACCTTCAAACATCAGGGAATTAAGATCGTTCCTTGGTATGACTAACTACTCCCGTAAGTTTATAGATAACTATGCAGAAATAACTAAACCACTCTTACACCTGCTTAAAAAGGAAACTACCTGGAACTGGGGGGAGCCTCAGGACCAAGCGGTAAGTGAACTGAGGAGGAAGCTCACTCAGGCACCCTGTTTAGCATACCCAGAGGGGGGTAAACCCTTCTATCTGGAGACAGGTTATACCGATTTAAGCATAAGTGCTGTTCTGTATCAGAAGCAGGACAGTTTAAACAAAGTTATTGCATATGCTAGCAAGACTTTGTCACCTGTTGAAGTTAAATTCAACACGTGTGAGAAGGCGTTATTGTCGACTGTATGGGCACTACAAAATTTTCGTAGCTATATCCAAAGTGAGAAAATATTTGTAGAAACAGCTCACCAACCTCTACAGTATCTGCAGAGTGAAAGAATTAGAGACGGTAATCTCTCCAACAGTCGGATTACTGCATGGACTCTATCCTTACAGGGATGGCCGCTAGAAGTCCATTATAAACATAATAAGAGAAGCCCAGTTGCCCAAGGTTTAGCAGAATTACATGACTGTACTGCTCCATCTCTGGATGATAATGACACCGGAGATGACTTCCTAGAAGAGCAATTGCTATCTCCTTATAAAGTTTATGACGAGGAATACTGTCGACCACTACCGTGGGTATACATTGATGGTTGTTCATATCACCACGTCGCTGGTGCTGAACGGAAGTTAGTTGCAGGTATCGGAATCGCCTGGACAGGTGATTATCCTAATGTATCTATAGGATACAATATTGGTCCCAAAAGCAGTCAGATAGCCGAACTCTGTGCAGTATATAAGACCATTCAAATGGCAATAGAATATGGTATCAAAGAATTCGTTATTATAACTGATTCCAACTATGTTCGCAACAGTTTTGTCGAATATCTGCCTAGCTGGAAACGTAACCAAATGCTGAAAAGCAATAACAAACCTGTTAAACATGGGAAATTGTTTTGTAAAATCGATGAACTGGTTAAGGAAAATGGTTTATCCATATATTGGAAGAAAACCAAAGGCCATTCTAAAATAGAAGGTATTGACAAGGATGGTAATGACTTAGCCGATTCACTGGCAAAACAAGCTGCCATCAATGGTGAAACCCTAAACATTGATGATCTTATGGGTTCAATTCATATTGAAGCCATAACTAGACGACAGGCTAGAGATAATGCCGACTTAAATGTCGTGCAATGGAGTCAAGAAGCTCCTAGTGAGGACCTGATTACTAGTCAAAAGAATGATCCCGTCATAGGCATATTCTATAGACATATAGAAGACCCTACTGCCAATCCCATCACAGATGAGGATTGCAAAGATAATGAAGATTTACGAATCTTGATGAGATATAAAGTCCAATTTAGTATCATGGATGGGTTACTGGTCAGAACTTCTAAACATGGTATACAACAATGGGTAGTCCCAACTGTATACAGAGGGTTAATGCTCCAACACGCACATGATGCACCTACATCTGGGCATCGTGGTGATAAGATCACATATGAGATATTGCGTGATTATGCATATTGGCCACACATGTTAAGGGATGTTAAGACATACTGTCAGGGATGCTTGATTTGTCCGCAATATCAACCCCATGGTCCAACCCATCGTGCACCACTTCAGAAGAGGGGGGTGTCATTACCCTGGTCTGATATTCAAATTGACTTTATAGGTCCTGTAACAAGATCTTCAAGAGGTAACAAATACATGTTAACCGTTACATGTATGTACACAAAGTGGATAGAATGTTTGCCTTGTAAAGAGAACACGAGTACCGTGTGCGCCACTTTGTTGATTAACCATGTCTTTTCCAGGTTCGGTCTGCCCCAAAGAATTGAGTCAGACAGAGGTAGTCACTTTACCAGCGAAGTAATGGCTAAGATGTGGAACATTCTAGGTGTTAAACGAAAGCTACATATTGCATACCGCGCTGCGTCTAGCGGGGGGGTAGAGCGATATAACCAGTCTATCGTTAATATTCTGAAGAAGTATGTTAAGGAGTCTGGTAAAGACTGGGACATTAAATTGCCCCTAGTTTTAATGGCGATTAGAGCTACACCTAGCACTGCTACCAAATTGTCACCTTTTGAATTGATGACAGGAAGAAAGATGGTTTTACCACAGCATTTACTATATCGTACTTCGGATCATAACTTGATCAATGCTGCCACTACGCATCAGTATATCGAAGATTTGCGCAAGCATTTACAGCATGCGTTTGCTTTTGCCCAAAAGAATCTAGAAAAAGCAGCGACAGGGGTTAAGACCTATTACGATCTAAAAACCACGAAAAAGGAATATGAGATAACAGATCAAGTCTATCTGTATAACTTTGCGCGAAATCAAGTCAAGGAAAATAAATTTTTACCTTCTTGGAAAGGGCCATATGTCATCATTGACAAAATTTCCCCAGTAGCGTACAAGATAAAAATTCCTAAGGATGGTGATTTTATTGAAAAGTGGGTTCACATTAACCAGTTGCGTGCTTGTCATCCTAAATCTCAATTAAGGATTATAGGTGTGGATTCAGACGCAGAAGGGTGAACGACTAACCTGGATGAATGCTTGATTCACGTGGTATAGTATGATGTGAAATGTTGTGATGTGCCATGATCTCATGTACGTTCATGTCATTAACCATTTCCTTGCCATCCAATAACTACATTTTATAAGCAGGTTACTAGCTTGTTTAACTGCTATAGGCAAATTGCTGAAGAGTCAGTAATAAATGTAGTGAGGGATGAAGTTATAAAAATAGAATTAGACAGAATACATATGTTGATGAATCGTAATAATATGTTGTCCTAGCCCAAGTGATGTCACACTGTTATAAGTTTGTATGCTTAACAAACCTTGAATCATTAGTAGATAAGTCTGAAACGAGTTCCTGATCCGTGACTGTCGAAAGATGTCCAAGAAGGATGTGGCGTGTTTCTGGATCGTACTGCTCCTGTGCAAAGAGCTACGGACCGACCCGATCGCAGAGATGGGACCATCCTCCGGCATCCTGATTCAAGAGACACCAGGGTTCATCTTGACCGAGAAGAGGATCCTGACCCGACGTGTGTTCGTCAGCTTGGACCCCAAGATTTCCATCGAGAAGGCATACAACATTTCATCGATGCAGCTTCCTGAGTTACAGACTTGGTACCAGATGCACCTCCAAAGAGCACAGGACCGTGTGCGAAACATCTTGGAGCAAGCCCGGAAACCATTTGTATCCAGTTCTATTCCGATGAGCAACCGACCCAAAAGGTTCCTCACCGCTATAATTGTTGCATTAGTTTGTGCCACTGTCGGTGCAGTTGTCGCAACTGGAATGTCTGCAGCCAACTCTATTACTGTTCAAAAGCTGGATATGGAAATCTATGCGCTAAAGCAACACATTAACGATATTCATCAGGTGATAAACCAGCAAAGAACACTTATCCAAGACGTGCTAACTATTGTGGAAGACACAGTTGTTACAACAAATTTGCATTCGGAATTAATTGCCAAATCCACTGAGTTGCACCAAAGTCATGACTTATTTAAGCGTGAACTTCTATTTCTGCATGACCCAATATTGTTCCACACACTCGCTTTTCTTGACGAAGTGCAAACTGGAATGATCGCATTGGCAGGGGGACGCATACCTCTGTATTTTGTATCCAAGGATATTGTTCATGCGATGCTTGCCAATGTGGATGGAGAGACAATTGAGCCTATGCGATTAAATCTGGCCTTTGAGATGGGGAGCACTATACCTCTCTTAATTGATCCGGAACGTATGGAGATTTGCTTTTTATTGGCCATACCATATGTAACTCCCAAAGACATTTTTCAAATGAAAATAATGTATTATGATAATAATGATATTATGGTTGATTGTACTAAGCGTAAAGTTCAAAACTTTTACAGGTACAAATATATACAAAAATGTTCATTCCACGCACGGGCCTATGTTAGAAATGATGTGATTGCACAATATGTCTGGTAACTTCTATAGTGCTTATTCATAAGCTAAATTAATTTTGGCTATGAAATGCACTAAAGGGGGGTTATGTCAGAGTATTTATATCGGCAGACATTTTGTGCTACGATAGAAACTAAAAGTGTATATTCTGAGTCACTCTGAACAGACCAGACTCCATTTTGTTATTTCAAGTTAACAAAAGAGACACAGGAATTCTTTCTGTAAGACTGGCCTCTTTGCCAGAGCTAAGGAATGCATAGTATATACAAACCAAGTGATAAGGAAGGGGGTTGGACAGACTGTCTAATGCTAATGGAATATAATCAAATCTAAACCCAGACAATTGTGACAGAGAAGATTAAATAATTTAATATTTAACTGTCTATATATATAAGGTACCATTGTATGGAAAAGGGTAAACTTAGTTCATGATCTGTCATATCAGAAATGATGGCAGGAATTGCAGACGCTAAGTCTGGACAAAATTTAAGAAACCCTTTGAAATTTTAAATTATGGCGCTATAAAGATAACGCAAAATGACGTCAAAATAGCCACCAGGAAAAGTTAACTCTTTCCTGGATAGGTATGTTTAGTGGGACAAGATTGCCCTCTATAGACTAAATACCTAAATTGCGATCTGGAAGATAACCACACCTCTAGTGCTTCTATTGGGTTATCAACTGATGACGTACAGAGAGTCTGGCCCTTTAAAAGTTAGGACAAAGGGAAGATAGAGAATACAAGATAGGATATACGAGGGAGGCAGATGCAAGATATGCAAAGGAGAGGAGAGAGGAATTGGAAGTTTGGGGACTCCAACTCGGACAACATCTGAGACTAACACTCTACTCCTAAAACTCTAACACTTAGAATTTACTGACTTTCTAACCAACACCTCCATGCAGAGAGACTACCAATCGGATGAAATATCTACTCAACTGGTAATTATACTGGTTTCATTTAATTAAATTAAATTAATTAAAATGTATTAATAGCATTATATATGACTGGATAAAGCACGGTCAGATTTCCATATTAAGAAATCTTAGTTAACTAAGAATATATAGTTATAAACATTCCATTCTGCAGGTGGAATTAAGAATAATTATATATTGATGTGATATTATCACGTGTTAGCATACCGCTGTTTTTATCCAGGTGTATTGATTTGCTCTAAATTAAGATAGATATCTTTTAGACAAATTAAAAATCTGCTTATATAACATATTAGACTCTCTTATTGGATGGTTTAAGAAAATGACTAGTGAACTGGTTTAAATGTTATTTTATTTAAAAATTACATAAGAATAGATCTTAACTACCTAGGAGATCTAGCCAGCATTGAAAGGGTTATTCTAACTGTCTGCTAAACTTTACGACCTTACGCTGCACTCTGAGGAATTCTGTTCTTCGCTGTGAAAAGTTTCACTTAAGTCTGTGTTAAGGATACCTCATAAATCGTCAGAATTCTTGACAGAAAATGCTAGTTAGTCATTGAAACGTAATACCCATTTCCTTGTATTGCATATCATTTTATACTGGATATTCATTGATTATTGTTATGCATGTTACATAATATTATTTGTTAATTATTGGTTATCATAAATAAAATCTATTTTTATACATTGTGATATTAATTATATGAAATACATTCCACTTAACACGATAAACGTTCTTTGGGATCTGAGAATTGAATTAGTGGGCAATTCTCACTGTTACTATTATTATCCCATAAATATTCCCACATATAACACTTCTTTTTCACCACCTTAATTGTTAATACACAGTGTCAATTTTGCTCACCATACAGTCTGTTGATGCTATGGTTTGTATTAGCTCGAGAGAGGCTGTTATGTGAGCCAAAACATTATTTGTGTGATTTCTGCTGTGCACTAAATAAAATGACATCACATTATTTTTGGAGTGTGCTATACCATTCTTTTTTATATGGAATTTCTTACTGGAATGGTGAAAAAGGAGGTCTATAAAGATTTAGTAAGTGTTGATTCATTTTGTGTTGTACTTCAGAAACTTATTTTACAGTGGAGATCACAATGGTGAACAGAAGGCGTTAGTGGGTACATTCTAAGGCTGGAATCCCCATAGAGAGAGAAACCACACACCCAAACCAAAAACAAAATCTCTTCACGTGCTCTGCAATCTAGAATGGTCAAATTCCTCTAGAATATAGACAGGGCAGGGTAGAATTAAAAGAATGACACTTGATTGTGACATAAGCAATCTTTTGGCTCATCGATGAGTATTTATCAAGCCTAGTAATACACACAATGAATAACAGTTGCAATATATTTGTAACAGGAAAAGACATTATTAATTGACTTTGTTCATATGATAGAATGTGTCAGCTTTAAAAAGGCACTATAGGCACTCAGATCACTTCATCTCATGAAGTGACCTGCCCCCTTAGCCCTGCAATGCAAACATATAAACTGCAATGTTTACAAGGCAGGGTTAAGACAACCTCTAGTGGCTGTCTTCCTGGATTTGTCAAACAGTTTAAGTCCATGTAACGACATTGGACATACTCACACGTTTTTTCATGAGTATGTCCAGTCTTGTCTTCAACATTCCCATACGGAGGTATTTATTCAATGCTTTCCTATGAGGAATGTCTAACATGCGTGTGGAGCTTTCCAGGCATGTGCATTAGGTCCTCCATCAACATGATGTCACTGGAAGAGGAAACTGTGCCAGTGCTGATGGAGCTCGGTGCTGGACTTTACTCTTTCATGGTTGTGGGGGGACGAACCTTAAGTTTGGGACAGATGCATACTATAGCATTAGGAATAAAGTTTTATATTCCTAATGCTTTAGTGTTCCTTTAGAGTGATAGACATGCACGGCTTATATTCTCTATTTAATTCACAATGTGCCACACACTCTGCAAAAAAAATAATAATAATAAACTGTACATCCTATTATTACATTAGCAAACTGTGTTAAAATAACAATACTAAATACCATTTCCTTCAGAACAGTGTGCATGTTTTAAAAAAAATAAAAAAAATATTGACAATACTTATGTGTCAATAAAAGTGAATAATTATGCATGTTTCTTTAAATTTAAATACTGTAATAATAATATATATGAGAATGCACTTTCATTCCCAAAGTTGTATGTATACATTAAATCCAAAGTAAATACTGGATAAATGATTATGCTGGATAATTTACTTAGTAAGATAAATACATGTTAATATATTGAAATTTAAATAAACCATTCATTTATGTTAGTAGGTTATTTGGCCAGCATTATCATTAATCCAGTATAATTAATTACTTTATATGCTTATATGGGAATTGTTTTGAAAGCCTATTTTTAATGCAAATTCATTAGAGTACAAAGACAGACATCATCAATTATGCTCAAGAAGACTGTAGTTTGACAAAAACAGGGACATAACTTTGCACCTTAAGCCCACCCACTCTAGCTCTGACATCATAATGAGGAATTTAATTTCCTCCTTATTTAGACAGTGTGAGCAGGAATCTCATGCCATGCACTGATAGGTTGTAAGCTCGGGGCTATGCCTAAATTCGTTAGTGCCAAAGCAGGCTAGACCTTTTTGCATTGTAGAATTGTGTTGACTGAAATGCTCATGCTGGTTTTAACTTTAGAAGCAATGAGAGTGGATTCTGTATACAGAGGAATCTTTCCAGTTTTCTAAACCCACTGGAAAGTGTTTGCACTTGAAGGGACTGAACCCAACCTGTCGTTAAGCATTTTTAAGTTCAAGTCACTGCAAATTCTCTATTGCTTCAGTGCTTGAAATTGATTTATGAAAAACTGGAGGGGCAGTTAAGGATAATCTCCTTGCATTAGTGCAATAAGCTGTAGCAGTCATGATGCTTAGAATGCCCATTTGATAACGGTTTGCCCATGATTTAGATGTATATAGTTTTAATGAAAAACAAGCTATTTTTAGTTGATATGTGAATTGCTATGCAGCTCTTTCACACATTGTATGGGATTTATGCACATCTGTTAATTTTTATATTATTATTCATAATAATATTTCATAACAAATGTATCATTAATATAATCGTATATGCAGTTCATTTTTTTAATTGTATTGGGTATATTTTACAAATAAAACAACCAGATGGGTTTAATGTAAACAAGAGAGCAGTGTGGTATTGCTCACTATATTCTACATTTAATTCTTAAAAACTAATCCTTATTCTGCAGTGGTACAATGCATATCAGAGCCCTGGGAAGACAATTGATTCCTCAGATGAGATTTAGCTTTCTGTAGTTTCTCTTGTATGAGCTTGTGATTGGATCTTCATTACAATTTTTATTGTGTAAAACAGTCAAATGGTCCTACCCTATAACATTGAGGATAAAGTACCGGTATATGAAGCGAGATGCAACAGTTACCATCAATAGCCTACATCATCTGCTTGGAACATGAATATTGAGAACGTTCTCTGTATTTCCTTAGCAGTGCTAGTATTATATATCATGCATGCCAAATGCACTGAGTTTATTCACTAGAGTCTGAATATCCCTGTTATTGATTACAAACATACAAAACTAAGTCTTGCGCTCAAAATCCCATTACTCATGTACAGCAGCAAT